TTTTTTTTTTTTTTTTTTTTTTTTTTGTAACTGTTCATTTAACGCATCGTAGACGATTCTGTTCGTTTCAACCATCTGATATGTTCTTGCTATATGGTCAGCACTTACATATATGTTGGTCGTGAAGGGAGGGAGCAGAAGAAAGGAAGGGAAAGGAAAGGAGGTGCATCCAAATGGCTTCGCTTCTCGTGAAAAACAAATTGCGGAGGGATGTTTACATGCATTCAGAATCGTTGTGCTATGAAATAATTTCTAATTGTTGTAACTGAAACATCATGCGTTCAGCATAAGGAAATTTTTTGCATTTATTACATCTATACCATTCAGCTTCGCGTTTTATTCAGACTCCTTTCATCTCTCCCCAACAACAAAGATTCCTAGAAAAGAAGGAGAGCAGAAAATTAAATAGCAAAAAGAAAGTTGTCTCGAAGTTGGCGGTCACCGGGAATTGTTTTTTGCGGAAATTTTTGAAAATATTTGCATTTCACTTATATTAAGCCGATGGCATTATTTGAATTGACTGGATAAATAGTGAAGCTTTCGTTGGTTCTAGTTTACTGTGTTATAGATGAACGATACGACGAATCTCTGGCATAATGTGTGGCATTGCCCGGATGATAGAGTGGAAGAACGACGGGACTGGACATTGCTTGGATACAGTTTAGCGTTTTTAGCAATCATAACAGTGTTCTTCTATACGGGAAGCTATATGCAAAGTGAAGAAATACAGAGGCGACTTGTTCAATGTTTGTTTTTTTTTTTTTGCTGACCGGTTTGAAATTTTTATTTCAGCGCATCTTATTATCAATCGTCTTACTTGAAAATGTGTTGTCATAAATTGCTATGAAACAAAGACGATTGTTTTATAGTCTTGATCAGTGATTCATGTTTTTTGTGGCTTCGTGCATTGGGGTTGTTTTTTTTTTTTTTTTCTTTTCGCTGAACTAATCCCTAATAGTGCAATTTTTGAATATTTTTATTAATCGGACTTTTTTTGAAATTACTTTTTTAATTTAAAAATACTTTCCAAGCCGAACTTAATTGCGAGAATAGCTGAGAATAGTTGCTAGTTTGAGAAATGCATACTTTTTCTCTTCGGTGATTGCTTAAAGGAACTTTCGTATTTCAGA